GGAGATAATCATTTTCTGAGCTCGCAAGATCCGCGAGGGAGGAACAAGAGGATGAGACTGGCACCTCCCTGAGGAATTCACACTGTTGAGGCTGGAGGACTTTGGGGACTGGTGTTTTAGTCTGGGGAGATTCTTGCTAGAGGTTGTAGCTAATAAACATAGCTGGACTGAATTGGCATTGTCTCTTGGAGTTCCGTGGGCTAGGCCTGACATTTATTAATGTCACAGTTTAAATGTATATTTGTATTAGATTAATTATATTGTGTCAGTCACTCTGTAGTGGTTATTCCTTGGCAAAACACAATATAAATATTTGATTTTTTAAAAAAAGAATCGTGCTGGTTATTCTCATATAAATTCATTTTTAAGAACTTCCCCAACAAGATCGCTATTGGCACATTGAGTAAAAATGAAAAAGGCCTATAGCTTTTTCATACTGTGACAGACAAAGGAAGTGAAAATGATCAGACTCCAGGTCAGATTAATTAAAGGCGATATACCTTAATGTTCATGTTTCACTAACTGTAGAAATATTTCAAGGAACTTAGTAGAGTTTAGTCTCCCAGTCAAGCTAGGAGTGATTGGAGTTGGAGCCCCAGTGCATCTGAGGACAATCAGATTGGGAAAGCCAGCACAGATTTGGTGATGCCGAGCAACCAGTAACAATCAAGAAGGATAATCATGTTCTGCTCCTTTTTCTGGCAGGTGCCATGTGCTTATAGCAAGAGCTCTATAGCAAGCAGCCAGTTCCTGCGGCTTCCCAGTGGAAGGGGTGAAGGAACTTCTCCGGTGGAATAAGCGAGACGCAGCTGCTCTAAGTGTTCTGCTGGGGAAAAACAAGTGACCGCACACCCGTCGCGCAGAAAAGGGAAGGAACTTCGTCAGCTCGCCCTCCCCGCAAATAGAGAAAAAAGGCGCCTCGGGAACCGGAACAGCCCTTAACCCAAACTCTGCGAAGAGAGCGCGAGCACAGCGGCGGAAGAGCAGCAGCAGCAGCAGCTGTCAACTCGGGGTCGACGCTCCGGTCGCCAATCGCACCACCGTCGCGATAGGAAACCCCAACGAGCCAGCTTCGATCCACGCCTACCTATCGCTGGCGGGCCATGGCCGAGGGGACAGGCTGCGAGGCGTCGAAAGCGTGCTTGGCCAAGATAGTGATGGTGGGTGACTCCTTCGTGGGGAAAACCTCTATCCTCGGGCGATACACCGACCTTTGCCCCACCGCCCTGGCGCCGCTGCCTTCCTATATCACCACCGTCGGTGAGTAGCCAACGCGCCTGGACAACGTTGTCTGTGCCTGGGGCGCCCAGTACGCTCGGCGAAAACGCACTGGGTTCGTGGTGCTGGACCAGCCCAGCCCCTGTATTTCCTTATGCGAACCCAGAAAACTGGGTCAATGTAGCCAACGATAGATGAGAGCGAAGCTGCCCTGTCCCGCCCACTTTCTTGATTTCCTTGTATCATAAACTAAACAGACACACACCCAAAAAAACCCGGTAGTTGCTGAGATTTCATTCAATGCATAACGGTTGCACATCTGCAAAGGTAATAGCTGAAAGCCTGGGGTCAGCTGCATTCTTTGTGTACAATATAACACATGGACCATGTTTTCAGGATATGTGAAGCTATGAATTTCTGTTAACAGGCATACACTACCATATTACCCGTGCACCTAGCTTTTTAAGTGAAGTCTCCAGTTTATCATGTCATCCTTAGTGAAATGGATGTCACCTTCAAGTTCCAAACACAAGACTTTGTACCCAAGGTTTATCCTAGGTTATAATCTCCATTTCAGGTCTGCGGAAAAGTAAGGTGCAAGCCTTAGTTGAAGAGCCACATACAAGTGGGGATAGGTCATATGGGAGTAGAGAGGGCTGAAATGCCTTAGTGGTATGATTTTCCATTAACTGAATTTTACAGCTTAACATTTAATGTGAATAAAGTCATAGTTAGGACTGAAGTAAGTGTAAGACTGTTGTGAAGCACTCACACTTTCTTCCTTCTGTTTCCTATATTGAAATTGAAACTCAACAAGTTTCAAACAAGTTGTTTGGCAGGGTAAGGGTATGATCAGTCTGCTTTCCATGTGTGTTACGTAACCTCTTGCTGATGAGGAGTTATTCTAAACTGGGGAATTACATGATATTTTTAAAGAGTTTCATCTGCAAAAAAAACCCCCCATGGTCCTGTCTTCAAAGACCATGCAGTCAACATTTTGATAGTGATAGCTGAAGAAGGGAAGGATAGTGGATAAACACTGGTAAATGCAATTACAGTATACATGCTCACAGCTAGGATTATAATTGACATGGTAAATTTATTGTCTATCTTAATATTACGAGAGTGGTAATTGTATCAATTGACCACAATCCAACCCTGAATTGGATATGCTTGTTAAATTGATTAAGGAAGTCTAATTCTGTGCTTCATTGTGACTATGGTTTTTAAAAATTCTTTATATGTGTTTATGTGTACGTATATGGAATCCTTTTGATTTCTTTAGTGGCATGGACATATAATGTAAATAAAACAATTCCTGGATATTTGGATTAGAATTACACTAAACAATTCACTTGCATACAAATTATGCTATTCTTCTAAGCATTCTTCAGTCTCATTGATTTCCATTTGGTTTGTCAAACTGAATAAAAGCTTCAGAATCTTTATGAGAGGTAGATGAATTAAGGCTAGGTTCTGTCAATCTAATGTAAATATGCTAATGAAGATCTGTTCTTTATAGTCAACCCCATCTGGAAGCTTACTGTTTAAAGCTGCTATCACCAGATCATTGATTCTAGAAAGGAAAGTGTCCTCTCCCTCGGGGGGGGGGGGGGCAGGGAAGAGGGAATAGACCCACCCTCTGCGAAAAGGCAACAGGACTGGCATTTGTTTTGTGAAAGAGGAGGAGATTTATTGAAAACAAGCCTGTACATTTGTAGAATTATCAGTGTAGTTACCCTGGCAGAAAACAGATTAATTGTGGAAAATAAACTGACTTGGCTTAACTGGCTTCTCAGCTATATATCTTGAACTTCAGAAAATGTATATTATACACCACTAGGTAAAAGATAATACAGGGGGTGGTTAGGCATTGGCCACAGTTTTAGATGCCACTCAACCCACATTGGAAAGTTTGCAGCACAACTGTTATATTAGCAGAAAAGAAACGTTTGGAGTACTCTCCTTTCCCAAATAGCACAATAGAATACTTTAAAAAAACCAATAAGCGTCTAATGTAGAAAATGGATGTACATTCATATTTATTTGTCCCTGTTTTTGAATTTTTCCCCAGCCCAAATTGAATCTCAAGAAAATGTGCCTGTGTGTGTATGTATGTGTTAGACACAAAAACACACACACACAGCAATTTAGCAATTCATATTTTTGAAAATCATTTTATTGGATATTTTTAGGAGACTAACAAATATGTCAATATTGTACTTGGAAGCAAAGAATTTTTTGTATTCTCAGACTGCAAGATTCCTCTGCCACAGGAGAGTGCGGTGTTGATTTTGTTTTCAGACAGAAGACTGTAGTTAGCAGTTAGGTAATGTGCTGGAGCCATGCTCCAAGCCAGGACAAAAAGTCTTTTTAGTTTATTTTAGATGTAATTAAAATAACATTAAATACTGCAAATATGATTACTTTGTAGATAAATAATTTCTCACTTAAAATCTCCTGTACCTATCCTCTACCAAATCAGTGTTGTTATTGTTGCCCAGATACAATCATTTTTCATAAGAGGTGGGGTAAAACACGACATTTTGGGGTCAGAACGTTTTGAATGCAAAATGCTTTGCATGCCTCTGGTTTGAATAAGATAAGGGATGCATCATAATAGGGGGAAACACATCAAAGAGGAAGAAAGCTTTTGTGCACGGATGAAAATTCAACAGAAGATTCACAGTGGAAGAAATGTTCAAGAAAATTTTGCCAAATCAAATTCATTTTTTCTAATTTCCTTTTCCTATGTTATCTAGTCTTCAATTATCAGATCTGAAAGTTCTTCAACCCAATTTTCAATTAGAATTTAGAAATTAATCTTTGGAGTTGTAAGACAAAATTCTCAAAACAAAATAGTACTTTGGATGTCCCAAAATAAAGTTACAAATTGATGTTCTACCTTTAGGGAAAAACTGAACTGTGCCTATGACATCCTTCCAAGAGAACCTGATCATATGACACTTCACAAACATTTGCACTGGCATGATAATTTGCAATCTGTATGCATGATAACATCTTCTAACTATAATACTTCAGCAAGTTCACATTCAGTCTGGGTTGAACAAATTCCTGTGATTAATTAAAAAGCCAGTTTGCTTGATTGCAGAAAAAACTCATGCATAGTATGTAGACTGTAGGGCTGCATATACAGGGCAGGGAAAATCTTTGATGATTACTAGATAGAAATTTTAGGGCTGTGGAATTTAGTAGAGTTAAGGACAGAAACAAAGGGACTGAATTAATATAACAGAATAGGATGTGCTGGAACAATCATGAAGTTGAAACAAAACACTCCTCTCTATTCTTTTTTTAAATAGTAATTTTTGTTGTACTACAATTACAACAATAACAACTAATACAAATTTTTAAAAATACAAAGAAAAAAATAGAAGGTGCAGAAAAGGAAAAAAAAGAGAAAAGAATAGAAAAATAGAAAATAAATAAAAAATAAGAATATTGTAAAGAAAAAGAAAAGAAATATATAAAGAAATGACTTCCCCCTGCATCCCCACAAGTATAAACAATTTTAGTAACTTATCACTTTCTCTTAAAATACAACAAATAATCTCTTCTTCCCACATCCCATCACTTATCTACAAACAAATCCATAAAGCCTCGTTATTTCAGTCCTAATATCAGCAAAAGTCCATTAAGGGTTACCAGAGATAACAGCATATCTATATTAACCTTGATCAAATAGACCAACTTTATATTCCTCCCTTTTACTTCTAAGAATCTTGATCTTTAATCCCTTCAAATAATGTCCTAGAACTTGACTTCTTTTCATTTTTTTCTTTCTCCCTTCTCACAATTTTTCTTCAAAGCTTTAACAAGACTCTTTTGTAAATCCAATATGGGAAAATTACCAGGTCACTCTCTTGGCTTGCTATTTGTATATCCCTTTTAGTTATTAAGACATCAGCCGGTTTCTTTTGTATGTCCAGTATAACATCTTTTTCCATATCATTCTTGTAACCTGTTCTTTTTAAATCCACTTTCAAATCAGTCTCAATCTTGTTAGGTAAAACTTGTTCCTCTTCCATAACATCTTTTAAATGCAGTCTATCTATAGAGGCAGACACTCCTAAAATTAACTTATGGGTCCATTGTTCAAAAATATCCCTCAGTATGTCCAATGCTGAAATATTTTGCTTCATTCTGTATTTGTAAGTTGAGTTTGAGTGTTCTTCTCCTTTAATTGT